TGGTTAAAACAGTAGGACTTTTCAAATCAGATAACCTGTTTTCAAAACTGTAAAAAATGTTTCACTAGTTCTACAAATGTGATCATTTAGAAAATATTTCAGAATTCTGCCTGCCCAAAAGTAATACCAACCATCAATTACTACCTGAAATAGAACAGTACAAATGCTGACTAGCACCTAATTTTTAAAAATTGATGCAATTAGAATAATTACTTCCAATATATGCCATTAGGATTCCCTACATCTACCTAGTTTGAGTATTTTTCTCAAAATTGTTTTCTAAATATTAAATTATATGCTTTTTAACTAGAAGACAAATACACAAATTGGAAATGTAAGTGCTTAAAACTGATTTCAACTCTACTTGTAAGGCTTAATATAAAAGGACAAATACTGTAAAACTATTTTCTCTCATCAGAAGTGGAAGTGAGAGAAATCGATTTAGGTTTTAAAAGAACTGTATGGCTTTTGATCAAATAAAATTACCTGACATTTGAATATTTGTGTGGCATTAAGAAAAAAATCAGTCATCTACATAGAACTGTGTTAAATTTGTGTGTGTGTGTGTTTTTTTTTTTTTTTTTTGGTCTGGTACTGGGAATTGTTAACTTGTATCAAAGATAAAAACTATTGCTGGGCGTGGTGGCACACTCCTGTAACCCCAGCACTCAGAAGGCTGAGGCAGGACCGCAGTTGTAGTGGGAGTAAATCTAGATTCAGCCAAGAGTGGAGGCCAGCCTGGGCTACGTAAGCGAGCTCAAGGCCGGCCTTCACTACAGTATTTACTGGAAACACTTGCAGACACTGCCCATGATATACACAGTGTCAACTATAAAATCCATTTGAGAACTTTTCAGAAGTCAGTACCAGGAAGTTTGCCATCCTATAGAATGGATATGTTTCTTCCTTCTAGGTTGTTTAGTATCTTGATCTTTAGGATCAATTAAAAACTTAACAAGAGTAATCTCATTTATATCCTTAACTAGCACTTTTTAAATTTCTTTGCTAATTTTTACTTGTATTCTGGAAATCTGTCAATCTAAAATCTATGCAAAATGATGTATGCATGTAATACATAGTACTATTATTTACAATGAGTGGAATTTGCTAGTATGACTGAGACATAGAAATCTAGACTCAGCCAAGAGTGGTGGCACACGTCTGTAATCCCAGCACTCAGGAAGCCAAGGCAGGAGGATCGTTGCAAGTTTGAGACCAGCCTGGGCTACAAAGTGAGCTCAAGGCCAGCCTGAACTGCATAGCAAGACCCTGGCTCAAAAAGATAAAAAATTTAAAAAATAAAAATCTAGACTCAAAGAACAAAATTTCATTATTAGCCCAGAGCATCAAAAGATCAAAAATGGGATTAACACCTGATTTGCTCTGACTGCCACCTACATGAACATAGTGTTATAGTCCTAGAATTTAATTTGGCTAAAATTTGTTGGAAATCAGCAAGACAAGGATTTGAAATATTCACATTATCAAAACATTACTGACACCCCCCATTTGATTACTCAGATTTTAGTTTCTGTTGAGTTTTAATTATCCCACAACCAAAATAATTAACTACCCAAATACCAGTCAACAGTTTCAAATTCTACAGCAAGAAGACAACATTATTCAAGCTATGATTTACCAACAAACCATAGATGTACAGCACAGCGTGTATTAGGCCTGGGGTTCAATCCCCAGCAAGAGGGAAAAAAATAGTTAAAGGAGACTCATTTTTAAAAGACACTGATCTACTAGCTTAGTGGCTCATCACAAGGTTTTAATGGGACAGTCCTAAATGTGAAACCTGCCTTGCTACTTTTATTGGTGAAATGACCTTGGGAAAAGCCCTAACCTTGGTGAAACATGGCCCACTGTGTTTGTATTAGAACTTTTCTGGAAAAAGTCAATTCCTTGTATTCATGAGGTGAGGAGGAATGGGCAGCCTAGAAAAACAGGACTTAAGGGGAATTTTTAAAATGTCTTAATATCTGAAGGGTTTCCAAGTAGACTAGAAAGATTAGAGGTTAGGTTCAAATTACAGTCCTCAAAAATGGCAGAATTAGCAAGCTATGAAGAAGCAAATTTTCACTCAATATAAAATGACTTCTTAATAATGGTCACCCTACACACAGACTGCTTAAGAAAACAAATCTTTTCAGATGTGGTGGCACACGCCTATAACCCCAGCACTACACAAACTGAGGAGGGAGGATCAAGAGTTTGAGGCCAGCCTGCAAAAGAGAGAAGAGAAAAAAGGAGTTCTACACCAAAAATCAGCAGGAAAAAGTTTCACTCGAATACCTCCATATTCATTTACTTGCACTTTGCTCATGACTACGCTCCCACTACAACTGGCAGTTATTACCTGACCGCATGGCCAGCAAAGCCAAGTATTACCAGTTTTTCACCCTTCACCGTAAAAATATGCCAGCTTTTGGGTCTATGTCTTACTACGCCCTAACCATAATACTTTTGTAGGACCCACTTTTTGCCCTCAAATGTTACTGGATTTAGAGGCATTAAAAAGCTGGAAAAAAGCTTTAACAGTTGGAATGTGGCATACCGCTGATACGGCCAAATCTGAGTTTAAGCAAGATCCCAAAATGTTATCAATGACATAAAGACATAATCGTGTTTTACAATGTAAGAGATAAACTGAAGGCATACTAGACTACCAACAATTAATTCATTACAGACCTACACTATCCATACAAGTATGCTAAGAAAATTGCTAGTAGTTGCTATTTTTGCAAACTATGCATTATGGTTCAAAATTATTGCTCTCTTTAAATCATTCAAATTATATGTGGTCATAATTTTAATGGGCAGGAGGATCTCTGGAAGTTCGAGGCCAACCTGGGCTACAAAGGAGTTCAAGGGCTGGGGATTTAGCTCAGCGGCAAAGCGCTTGCCTGGCAAGCGCAAGGTCATGAGTTCGGTTCCCGGTACCGGAGAAAAAAACCAAAAAAAAAAAAAAAAAGAGTTCAAGACCAACCTGAATTGCATAGTGAAAGCCAAAAAAACCCCCCAAAAACAATTTTAATAGGGTGAGCTCTAATTAGTTTTCCCATCAAACTAGTGCCCAAAATATCTGTTTATTCTTTAAAGGAAATTTGCTCTGTGTGCATTTGCAACTGCAGGTACGTAATACTACATACTTGTACACTAACAAGGTTTCCACTATGCTAGAATAATGCATTCAGCAAAAAGCCAATGCAGCTCTATTTCTGAGAACTCTTTCAAGGTCTTCTATAATAAAATTAAGCCAAAACAAAAAAACCAGCGAAATAATCTCTACCCTTAATATTTTATTTAACAAAACTCCCTGCGGGCATTTATTGTTAAACACTTGATATAAAGTATAAAAGCAACAACTAGTATTTATTATATGCATGTGCAATTTTTCACATAAATAAAATGTTACCAATTTAAACTAACCTAAATTTAGAAAGCTAAAAACCATTTTGCAATTTGGGAACTAAAAACAGTAATTTTTTTTAACAGAAAGTATTCCATCCTCAGGTAATCATCATCAAGTAAATCACACATCGAACAATGCTTTGAGGTACAATTACATCAAATATTGGCAGTACGGGACAAACCTAAGATAAGAAACCTCAAGCCCACTGAGCTGCTTCTTGAAATAAGGTTAGGGACATCTAAATTAAACTAAAGATAAAGAAAAATTTTCTATTTACAGTCTAACACATTTTAAAAAAGAATCTCCACTACCAATATGATATCCTAAGATTCTAGTATACATTCTTTTAGGAATACATGGAAGAAAAAGATCTTAGAGGCCTTTTTTACTAATCCAAAAAGAACAAAAATGAGATGGTGATAGTGGACAAACTTGAAATATTCCAACTTCCCTAAGAGAAGTGAGATAGTAGCTCTAAACAAATCAGAATCATCTCATCATTACCAAAATTCTATTAAACGTTTGTTTAAGTACCTAAGGGGGAGGGAATGTAAACTAGATCTCACAAGTGTTCCAAAATGATCAAATAATTTTATATTACAACTACTGGCTCTATCTCTTCTAGCGCTAGCTGTAAAATAGTGAGCAGAGGAAAAAGAGAAGAGGAAATCTACAGAATGCCTTGCACAGTGAGGTTCACAGGCAGTGCCCGACTTAAGATGGCTTGACTTAGGCTTTTCCGACTGAGTGGTGGTGCAAAAGCGTGTCCATACAATGTTCTTTTTCACTTTCAGCACATTATTTAGTAAATTTCATGAGGTATCCAACACTTACAAGTTTCACATTACATGAACTTGCCCAAGGGTAGGCTAACACACTGTTCTGGGTCCATTTCTGGTGGACTGGTCTAAGCTACGACTTCAGTAAGCCGTGTATTAAGTGCATTTTAGTTTTACCTTACGACGTGTTTATGGAGATCTAACCTCATCTAAAGAAGCATCTGTATTGTAGATTGGTTAATACAACTTTTGAGAAACTCATACACATTCCAAAATAAAATATACCAGAGATTTTGTGTTTGACTGATTTCCCCCCTTAATCTAGTACAAACATTCAAATAGTGTTACACATTAATTACTTTCGTAATAAAAAAAATTTAACTAAAATGTTATTTTAAAACATACCCAAGAAATCCCAGTGCTCAGGAAGCTGAGGCAGGAGGATCACTGTGAGTTTGAGGCCAGCCTAAGTTACATAATTGGAGCTCAAGGCCAGCCTGCACTACATAGTAAGACCCTATCTCAACCTCCTCGTCCCAACCCACTCTTACCCCCCACAAAATTATATATATATATATCCCAAGATTATAACTAGCTAGGTTGGGTATGGTGGCATATGCCTGTAATCCCAGCACTCAGGAGGCTGAGGCAGGAGGATCAGCATAGGTTATATAACCAAGTTCAAGGCCAGCCTGGATTACTTGTCTCAGACAAAAAACAAAAAAGAAAGAAAAGAAAAAAAAATTGTAACTAGAATCACAATGCAAACAGAGATGTCTCTGTATATAAAACACAGTGTTTACCTGGCTCCTGCTTGATGGTTAGGGTCTTATTCTCTTCCGGATGGGCAATAGGCGCCTGCGTCACTGAGGAGTCTTCTAAATTTGTCTCATTATTAGGTGGTGTATTATAAACAAATCTCTTTGCAGTCTGGTTTTTCCTCCTTGTTTTGCCAGTCTCTTGAATTCCCTGGGAACCTATATTATTCCAAATAAACACTTTTGCTTGACCCGGAGACTCATTTTCAGCCAATTCTGGAGAACCATGCTGGGACCAGTTATTGTCACTCACTTGGAAGGTTTCCATTTGGACCTCATCGACATTAGAATCATCATTTTCCATTTTTATATTACTTGCCAAGTTGGTAAGATTCTGTGTTGCCCAAAAGCTGGCAATTTTTTGATCCCGTGATGAAGACAGACCATCTCTATTGATCGATTTTCTATTATTATAGTCCACAACTACAGCTTCTGGAGCTTCTGATTTAATGCTTATATTTAAGGCATCTCTAATGAAATTTCGGCAAGTATGAACAACTTCACTCATCTGAAGGTAGCTGGCCACTGTCATCACTTCAATGGCATTTTGGCTAGTGAGCACCAGGTTACCAGAATACAAGAAGTCCAAGATGACCGAAAAACCTTGAACTAAAGCAATATCTAAATGGGTAGTATTATTTTGGTTAGGGCTGTCTTTGTTTGAGACACAATATAAAGTCTTAAAGAAACGGCTGCCTGCAACCAGGATGTTCTTGTGAGCTTTAAAGATTTTCCCATTCACCACAATGCTGACATCACAAAGAATATCTTTCTTTCTCTGTTCATCTAGTTGTCGAAGAAGTTGATAGCAGTAAGAGTTCTCATTTGGCCTACTATTGAAGTCACAGTACCCCTCCTCTGCTGGTATTTCTGGTTCCTGAAAATGAATGGAAAACATTAATATTAAATTTTATTTATATTTTAGAGCCCCCAATCCAAAGAAAACAAATTATCATTATCCACGTAAGTTTTTTAAAAAGTACTAGTGAAATATAGATTAGTAGTTATTACACTTTTTGAGACTGAAGCATCATCCTACATGTTGAAAGGAATGAACAATGTGGCATAACTCACTGCTACTGTAAGAAAAATGAAACTGATCCAACTGAGGACCAGTATTTTCTTGGTTCTTCTTTTCATATGTAATCTAAAGACATGAGTTCAGATTTAAAATTAAAATGAAAAGAATAATTACAGTGACACCTTGGTGTGCGAGCAAAATTCATTCTGTAAACATGCTTGTAACCCAAAGCACCTGTACATCAAAGTGAACTTCCCCATAACAAATAATGGAAACTCAGATGACTCATTCCACAACCCAAAAATATTCATATAAAAATGATTACAATACTATAAAATAATGAAGAAAATATAAAATATAAAGAAAAATATGCAAATTAACCCACACTTACCTTTGAAAACCTTTGTGGCTGGTGTGAGGGAGACAAGAGAGAGGAGGGTTATTACTTAGAGCAATCGTTACTGGAATCAACGCTATCTGCTGGCTCAATGGAATCTTTTTCTTTCTGTGCACTTTAATGGAACTTATCCAATGATACTTGCTCTTGGATTTCGTGGAAATGTGACACTACAATGCCATTCAACAGACTGATTGCTCACACTACTACAATCTTATTTAGGTGGTGATTTTCTACAAAATTTTGTATTGTTTCCCACATTTTACACATGTCCCCAATCTCATTTGAAGAGAGGAATTCTGCCTTTTTCTCCTCTGTAGATGAAATCTCTATAACCTCTTATCACTGGGACCTCATCACCCACAATCCCATGGTGAGAGAGATCAAGAGAAGGGGACGGAGGGAGGGAATGAGGGAGGGAGGGAGGCAAAAACCTCAGGCTCAGTTGTGATCATGTGACACTCAGAATTATTACTCCTACTGCAAGATACTGCTTATCTGTCAAGTTACAAACTTAACAGAAATGTCTGTTCCTTCCATGGAATACTTGCAGAAAAAGCTACTTGCAATCCAGGGTTTTATATACTTTCTTATGAAACCTTACTGGAATTCAATTCCTTTGCTTCATCACCTTCTGGTTGACACTGACCTTAAAATATCCAAGTTATAATATGGTGGGCATGTATTATTAAAAAGGTAAATTTTAGCCAGGTGTGGTGGTGCACCCCTGTAATCCCAGCACTCAGGAGGCTGAGGCAAGAGTATCATTGCAAGTTTGAGACCAACCTGGTCTACAAAGTGAGCTCAAGGCCAGCCTGAACTACGTATAGAGACCCTGTCTCAAAAGGAAAAAAAAAAAAAAAAAAAAAAAAAAACCCACGGAAATTTTAAATCCTGGCATACACTGCTATCAAATAGTTTAGGTTAATGCCAATACTAAAGGTAACTACTGATGAAAGTTAAGACAGTCTGGAAAAAATGTGCTTATACTACAAGAATATCCAGTTATATAATTTCCTAGTCAACTTTCAAATAAAAGCCTTATCTCCAGAGTCAAAAACATCATAAGCTATATAAGGTAAGAAATTATCTACATCAAAGCATCACCATATAAATTTTCTTCTCAATCATACATGTATGGATTGTAGTCCCATTTGGTATGAGTCTAGTTTGGGTAAACTCCTATGTAACAGCTGTGTGATATAAAAATAGGTATGTAATCTAATTTCAGAATGCTGTCTGTACCAATTAACTGTCTAACCTTGAGTAAGTCACAATTCCTGCACCTTTTTCTTACAAGGACAAAGCAGCTACAAACATTAGTTATAATGAATAATTTTATGACTTCCTTCACTAAGTGACTAAGCAGGTAAGCTCCTTCTAGGCAGAGCTCTGTATCCCCATCACTCTGAATAGCGGTTAGCACAGTTTAGTAACTCTGGTAAGTAACTGAAGTTATCATTTTTTCCCCAAAAGAAAAACTGCTAATACCTTTCTAAAAAGACAAATGAAAATGCTGGCCTTATTTTTGTGTTAGATTTTTTCACATTTTTTATACAAAATGTTAATTATAGGTAACTTCTATAAAATAACAAAATACACACTGTAACCCCACCACTGAGGGATTCTGAGGAAAGAGGATTCCAAGGTTTGAGTCCTGCTCAGGCAACTTAGCACAACTGTCTTTAAAAAAAAAGACTGGGAATGTAGCTCAGTGGTAGAAAGCCCCTAGGCCCAATCCTCAATGCTGCAAAACCAAAACAAAAAACATAAATATATATCCATAATTTTATGAGAATGAAGAAAAACATGTAATGATGTACACTAGAGTATAAACACGCTGAAAGGGCAGCAGGAGGGGAGGGGTGTTGTCAAGGCAGGAATGCAAAAAGAATTCTTACAGAAACAAACCATCTTAATGGTGGATCCCGAAACAATCACAAAACTCCATTCAACCCAATCACGGGGATGACTAAGTTATAAAAATATTAGTTTTACCACCGAGTCCTGGTCACAGAGACAAAACACACGATAACCCCAATTTTCTGAAACTAAACCACAACCCATCTAGACTTCTGTGCTCTTCCCAGGTACAGGCAGTCACCGAAACCACCAAGATACTGTATTGGAATTTGAACACCTCACTACTGCACAGACAGAGTGAAGCAACGCAGATCACCCTCCTAAGGTGAGGGGATGGCCACTGAGAACTGTGTGTTTCCAGTGCACCCTTGGCAGCATCCCCAACCCGGCCTGGCGCCGCAGGTGCACAGTGCCGTTCCACAGCCAGCCTCCCGACCCCCGCCTCCTATCCTGTCGTACCAAAACACCTCCTGCTCTCAATTAGCTATTTTTTCTCCTACAACACACTCAGTCCTCTGAAAAAGCAGATTAACAGTCAAGGGTAGAATAATCAACACAAACCCATTAATGAGTAAACTTCCAAATTTTTGCTTTTGAGGGATTAGGGAAATGAAATTAGGTTTAAAAAAAAAGGTTTTTTTTTTCTTGTGTGTGTGGTTCTGGGGATCAAACTGAGGGTCTCCTGCATGCACAAGGGCTTTATTAGTGAGGTATACCTTCAGCCCTAAGAGGATGTTTTCTTTAAACTAGATCTTATATACTAACCATGATGCTATGAAATTTCAAAACATTCAGCACAAGGGAATGAAAATAGGGCTTGTGCAAATAAAGAACTAAAACAACACTGAAAGTGCTGTAATAATTCCTGTTACCCAGCTGTAGTGGTGGTGATTTATGTCCATAATACCAGCACTTGGGAAGCTGAGGCTGAGGCAGAAAGATCATTACAAATTTGAGGCCGGCCTGGGCTACATTAGGCCGGCCTGAACTATATAGCAAGACCCTGTCTCAAAAACAACTAGCACAGTAGTAATTACTGTTACAGTAAACAGCTTTCTATGAAAGCATCATACTGCTCACTCATTTTCCCTTTTAAAACTATCTGAATACAATTTAACGATCTGCCTACGCTCTCTACAGAAAATTGTGAACACAAAGAAAGACTCTTTGGTGCAGGCCTGGCATTAAACTCTGTATGTGTGCTCTACCTGGCCAGCAAGCTCACTTGCTACAAAGCTGCAGCTAATAGATACTGCAATAAAAGTATGAATACCTGGAAAAAACAAAAATTTTAAACACAATAAAATTTGCAAACACATCCATTAAGTGTTCATGGAAGCAGTGAATTAGTATTTAGAAGTCAAGAACTGCCTAGATTTAAATATTAAACAGTTCAAAACACTTTTGGAGGGCTGGTGCTATAGCTCACAAGTGCCTGCCTGGCAAGTGCAAGGTCCTGAGTTTCATTCCCAGTACCCCAAAACAACCCCCCGCCAAAAAAAAACTACTTTGGGAAATGATTATGTCTAACTGTAGGCATAACCGTAGGGCATGGTCACTGTACCCTGCACTTTCTAAGCTGGTCCTACCAATGTAAGATTCTCTGCATTTATTTCACCCTATGTCCTTATTTTTATTTTCATTTTTTTGCAGTACTGGGGGTCACCAGGGCTTTGACAGCCTAGCAAGGATTCTACCACCAAGCAACATCCTTTGCCCTTTAAGATTTTCAGACAGGCTGGGTGTAGCGGTGCACGCCTGTAATCCCAGCACTTAGGAGGCTGAGGCAGGAGGATGGTTGTGAGTTCAAGACCAGCCTGGGCAACAAAGTGAGCTCAAGGCCAGCCTGAGTGCACAGCAAGACCCTGTCTCAAAAAGACAAAAAAAAGAAAGAAAGAAAGAAAAAGATTTTCAGACAGGATAGTCTTGCTGAATTGCCCAGACTGGACTCAAACTTTTTAAAAGCACACTTGAGCCTGGGTCCATATGTACTTTTAAAAATAACTCAGTCAACTGGGAGGTTGAGACAGGAGGATTGCAAGTCTGAGCCCAGCATGGACCCTGTCTCAATGTAAAAGGGAGGGAGGCTAGAATTGTAGTTAGTGCAAACACCCTGAGTTCAACCCAAGCAACATATAAACAAACTTTAAGTCAAAAGCCCAACTACTAAAATATTTGCCATTCTATTTTGATATAAGCTCTACAAATGAAAAAAAATAGTGGCTGTTTAGGCACTAGTTTTTGTTTGTTTTTTGTTTTCAGACAGGTCTCAACTCTGCAGTCAGACTGGCCTTGAACTCACTTTGTAGCCCAGGCTGGCCTCGAAACTAGCAGCGATCCTCCTACCTCAGCCTCCAGAGTGCTGGCATTACACGCATGAGCCATCACACCCGGCCTATCTCCTGATTTTATAAGCAGTATTACCAATTTTCCTTTCGCTACTTAGTAAAAAGAATATATGGTGCTATGCGTTTTGTGATTTTTAAGGGTTTTTTTCTTTCTTTTTTGTGGTACTGAGGACTGAACCCAGAGCCTTTACACTGAGCTACAAACCTAGCCCTTTTTAATTTTTTATTTAGAGATAGGGTCTCACTAAGTCACTAACTTGCCTAGGCTGGGCTCAAACTTGTGCTCCTTCTGCTGCAGCCTCCCAGAGCGCTGCGACTGTTTTGTTTGTGGTGCTGGAGATAAAACCAGGGACTTAGCACAGGCTAACAAGCATTCTACCCCTGAGCTACAGCTATTAAGGCCACTAACTATCCCCTTCAAAACTAAACATTTCCAAGTCAAGAATATGTGTACTCTCCAAGGAGACCATTACTTGAGAATGTGAGTAAAATAGCTAAATATGCACACAACAAGAAAATAAACTGTCAATATTATTTGCTGAACCACATAAACTAAGAAATTTTTTAAACCAAACACAAAATCAGGTACATTCCTAAAAATTCCAGGTATCGCTCTCTTTGGTTCCTTGTTTAATATTCTATTTCCAGTTAGTATTTTGGTAGCACCAGTCATCACTA